ATGTGTTCAGCCTAGTGGCCTTCGTAGGTCTAAAACGAAAAGATCTTTGCCCTCTTTGTAGAGCTGTCGTGCTCATGTCGTGCACCATTAAGATCGACGTACCAGATATCACTGATTGGCATAACCCAGCACAGTCCCGGTAGCTCATTACGGACGAACGGTAGCCATCCGTCAACGTGAACATCGACCTCAAAAGACGCCTCCTTGCATGCATATACCAGAAAGAGGTCGGCGAAGTTCAGAACTACTTTCTCTCTCCATGATAGTAAGAAATGCGGAAAATCAGAAGCATATCACTGAACAAAGTTTGCAATCGCAATATCCCAGGCGTTGAGGTCTTCAATCGTTGCATCATTTTTTATATCATATCATTTTATACAGAGGATATGTTGTCAGCAACTGAGAGATAAGCTAACAGACGACCAATGGCCTGGTCCAAATTTTTCGACCCATTCTGCTTGTGTTCAACACGATAGATTCCTGGCGCATTTTTATAGTATGTTTTAGCTCATGATTGTTCATTATGGTTCCAACTGATTTCGGAATGAAACCATTTGCACAGATTATTACTAATCTTGTTCGTGTGGTCTTCGAATGACATCTGTTATAGATTCCAAAAACAGGTTTTGGTATTTTCTTTAAAATCTTTCAGTGACAGCGAATACTCCTCCCTCTCGGAGTCAAGTAAAGCTACTTTTCCAAGTCGATTCGATCAGACGTGAGGACAGCATAAAACGTCCATGAAGTGCCTTCTTATTCTATCTTTCAATTCTGGACACTAGGCTTCTATTCTTTACCAGGTGATCGCTCAAACACAGCTTTAGCTGCGTATGACCCTTGACCGTTACCTCCATGGCCGCATGTAGTAGGTTTTTCCTCCTTTTATTCCGGGATCTGCAACATTTAGCATAGAGCATTGAACTTTTGATCAAAATCATCGAGTGAGGTGTCGCATCACTTCGAATCGCCAAAGGTATGCTTTAGCACCAGCATATACCAAGCATAGAAAGTTTTGGTCTGTAAAAGTAGTATGCTTTCAGAATCAAGTCATGTGATTGTGGAATGTCCTCATCTTTCACATGCGTAAAGTCGATCAGAAAATGTTCTCACAGTCCAAAATATTTATAAAACATCGAGGTATTGCTTCGAGATGCAAGCATTCAGAATTTAACAATTTTCCATCTTCAAAATGCAGACAGCACTGTGCATTTGCTTAGACGAAATTCCATAATGAATGACAAGCTAAATTAGACATCAGCTCGCACTTGAAGTCCAATTCTTTTTCATTTCCAGTTCATATGTTTACTGTTGTTACATTATTATGATGTATGTTCTACAGACATATGCCAGTTTTTATAACAAATCTGTTTGTTCAAGCGAAATAACATATACTTTGATGCTTTTTCTAAAAATGCATGTTACTTTTGCGTAAATACACTGATAATGGGAATCATTAGCAGTGTCGTGGAGTCGCATATCTGTCCAGCTGGCATATTGGAGGCCAAATTTCATTCGTAACATTGAAGCCATTTTCCTAGGTCATTCTGCCATGCAGAGTCTTTCCTTTTTTCCCTTTCTTAAATTGACAAAACCTGCATTTTCAGTTGTTGTGCTGACAAATTACAGCGAAGATGAATTTATGACCATCTTCTGTCTTCTGATAATGGCATCACTCTCAAATTCACGAGAAATACGTACTACCAGACGTACGGTGTTCCGAAGGGCTCACCGGTGAGTGCTGAATTTTGCATGGAACACCTTGAGGTGAAAGCCCTCAAGGAATGCCCGCCAGAATTCTGATTACTGTTCTATGTCTGATTCGTTGATGACATTTTCCTATTATTTTAACGAAATGAGGATGAACTGAAAAGGGGGGTATGTTTCGTGAATTATCTGAATGGACAAGATAAAAATAGCCAAAAACGCTTTATTACGGAAGTAAAAATTAACCACTGCATATCATTTCTGGACGTGCTGGTGAAGAGGATGCCATGGTTCGAATTTGAGGTTTCTGATTATCAGAAACTAACTCATTCCAATCGATACCTACACCCGTTTGTCGCTCAAGGATTAATTAGTAATGCTGTGATAAATGGGAGTTTACGAGCCCAGGAGATCTGCACTGACACTTTGGGCCTAAACCCAGAAATCTAGCATCTTCATCAGGCGCTCCTAAAGAACGGTTACCAATGGAGGATCCTTGACGAAGAAGTTTTTCACTCCAATTCAGATTTAAAGATTTTCAGTTGATGTAGACAGTGTTAATATTACCTTTCATACCCAAGGTATCTCAGCGTATTACGAGGTACTCTAATTACATTCGATTTACGGTCTGCTACAAGATTGGCTCATCATTGGGTGATATTTTATTTCAAAAGCACATACCTATTAATCCGGAAGAATTGTTAAATGCGGTGTATAAAGTTCAGCTCAGATTGCGTTGATTTTCACATAGAAAAGACCAATCGAAAAGTGGATATCCAGATAAAAGAGCACCTTTTTGCAACCTGCTTCAGACAGGCTAACAATTACGGTATTGCCAACATGCGATCACCAAAGACCATTCATTCAGTTAGACCAGTGTGTGTTACAGATAATTAGGTTTATACCGGTATAGGTACTGCGAGAGTTCAAATACTAGATTGCCGTGTCTACATAAATCTTTAATCCAAAGCAATGAGGAGGAAAGGGGTGGCGTAATACACCCCTTTATCTGGTTGTCTAGGATTTAGGCGCTCATTCTTAGTTATTCTTTTATACCATGGTTTTGTATCCCCAAGAGTCGAGCCGCTCACAGCACAAATGGTTCAACGCGTTAAGAAACAGTCTTTGAAGACCTTCAGTAAAATAAATGTTGTTTATAGTACAATCAGTTACCAAAGTACGACTGTACTTAAATATCACGCCTTCTAAAGGGTATCCCATACGTCTTGTTCTCTGATGAAGAGGGGCTGTGTCCATTTCCAAACGATTATGAACATATCTTCAGAGATGAGGTCGACTGTTGCTAAATCAAAGCTAAAGCAATTATTCCAATAGTCTCTTAAGCTCATTATCTTGTCTGTGTGCTACGCATATTCCTTTTCCTTTTTCTCTGGTTATGCTTCACATTTGACTTTCTGCCGTTGTGCTTTTATACCGTACACCTATGTTTCCACTGATGATGTAGCCTACGCTTGAGATTTACTGTAATTATTTTGTCACGACAGCGTACTACAACTTACAAGCTCTGTGTAGACAAAATTTTATTAATTTTAGACTCAGTTGTCATTGTCAAATACATGTTCATCAAAGTCGTTGTCAACTTACCTCATAGTCGTCTAGCAACTGCTGCTGAATGAGTTTCCAGTTTCTGAGGTCGTAGTTGACGCGGCAAAAGCTTTTCTGTCTGACGTTGACCAACAGCCAATCGTCATTGGACAGGCCGGTTACGGTGGCCTTCTTATTGGCGTTCAGCCAAACGAACCTGTTCTCTTGATCGTTCCGCTGTTTGTACCAAATGGGCACGTACCAAGCGTCGCTGAAAGGCGACGGTCGTCAAGCAGGAGGTCAGGGCAACACGCGGAACGCTCACCTGCTGTTTTTGGAATCCTCGGAACAAAGATAGAAGCGGCTTTGGGACAGAACTGCAACACTTGAACTGTAATCTCGACTAACAGTAATAACAGGATAACCCGCCTTCGTTATCCACGACTGCATCATTTTCGTGACGTTTAG